AATCTGCCACATTTCCCCCTATCCCATGCCTCCTTACTTTCTGCATGAGCCTGCCATGGGGAACCTTATGAAACGCCTTACTTAAATCCACATATACCACATCCACTGCTCTACCTTCATCCAAGTGTTTGGTCACCTCTTCAAAGAATTCAATAAGGTTTGTAAGGTTTCTTCTTCAAACAATTATCCAAGTATCTTTTAAATGGGAAGAAACTTTGCCAGTGTACAAAAAAAAATTACCTCTTAAATCTTAGTATTTGCTGACAAAATTTTATCAATGATAATATAAAAGGTGTTTGCTACAGTTATAGAATTAAAAGTTTAAAAAGTCCTACGTCACAGTGGCAACATGGGCCATCAAGTCTGTACCTTTTGAACAGCAATCCTGTTAGCCTCACACATCCTTTTCTTTCCTCAAAACCACTGATAAAATAATACAAGGTTGCGTAATATTCATAACTCAACAGTCAGTCACACTACACCATTCAGGCCACCTAATTCTTCTCTGAAGCCACTGACCTGAGCTGCATACATCGCTTTCTGATGTCAGTAACTTTTTCTATTGTTATAATGTAGGAAGCCATTCAGCTCTAGTTCTGTGCATTTTGGCTTCGTGTCAATCTCCTGCCTTTCTCCGTAACCCTACACATTGTTTTTTTTTTAAAAATCATCTGATGTCCTTTTGAATGTTTCATTCTCCATATGCCTGCTGCCTTTGTTCCTCTACGTGGTCAGGGATTTTGGTCTGTAAGGTGCACAACACCATCATGGTACTCACTGCTACAAGTATGTACAGAAACAAAGACAAGGCAGCTGAATCTGTGGCTGGAAACATGGTGCAGGAAGGAGGGCTTTAGGATTACTGGAATAGGCTAAAGGAGTGACGGCATCTTTACAAACTGGGCAAGCTGCCTCTGATCAGAGCCAGGAGAGTTCCTTGCATAGCATTTTGTTAGCACTGGAGGGTTTAAGGTAATTCAGCAGGAGTGAGAATTAGGACAGAACATCAGAAAGTAAGAGTAGGGTGTAAAAATGCTGAGAGACACAAACCACTAAACCAGACAGCAGTAAATTAACAGGTCAAGTTGGAGTAAAAAAAAAAGTCTAAATTGTGTTATTGTAATAAGATTGGGGAGCTAGAGGCACACATTACTTTCTGGGTTTATGATATTGTGGGGCTAACTTTAGAAAAAGGCAGATCTGAGTGTTAAACATGCCCAGTTACAAAGTGTTCAGAAAAGACAGGAACAGAAAGGAAAAAAAAAGGGTGACAGTTTTGGTTACATAAAGTTTTTTAGTGCGAGAAAAACAGGAGGTTTCAGGGGACCCAGGGTCAGGGTCAATTTGGTTACAGTTAATGAAGAATGCAATTACATGCTTGGTATACTATAGACTGGGTGGCATGGTGACTGGCACTGCTGCCTCACAGCACCTGGGATCTGGTTTCAACCTCCGCCTCGGGCAATTGTGTGGAGTTTGTATGTTCTCCCTCTCAACATTGAATTCTGCTGGATTTTCAGGTTTCCTCCCATGGTCCAAAGATGTGCTGGTTAGATGGATTGTCCTCAGTAAGTGCAGGGTTACAGGGATGCTCTTCAGACAGTCAGTTCAGACTCCATGAGCAGAATGGCGTCTTTCCACACCGTAAGGGTTCTATAGGATAGTGTTACATAAAGGGACAGTGAGGCACAAGTATTCCTAATTTGCACTTAAAAGAATTTGAGCAGCATTTGTAAAATGAGGCACTGATAGAACTGGTTCAAGAAATTAGTAGGGCCAAATAAATCAAGAGAGAGTGGAGGAACATTTAGAGGGCAGCATTCACAGTTTCTGAAGATTTAGGATGACTGTAGAAAGTGACTGATGAATTCAAAACAAGAATCATCACTGGCTGACAGCAGACTTCAATATGGTAAGACAGCTGGACCAGACAAAATGAAACCAAAAGGTTAGTGGTACAAATACTAGCTGAACAATAGACTACCTTCAAAAGAGGACATGGTTTGGGCACAGTCAAAGTATATTCTATCAATAAAGGGAAAAATAGGATAAAAATCCAGAGCTCCCTGGATAACAAAAGAAAAGAGAAATTAAGAAAAATATGCTTATGATAGGTGTCAGTTGAGAAACAAGTTGAAAAGAGGTTTAAAAGCGAAGTAAAAACCAAACTAAAGCACAGATTATTAAAAGACTGACAGCTAATGCAATAGGAAATCCTAAAGTCTTCTATAAGCCCATTAGTACTAAAAGGGTGGTAAAAAGCAGGGCAGACAATTAGGGAACAAAATAAAAACCCAATGATTTACAAATAGACAAAAGCATGCGTGAGTTGTTAAATGAATACTTTGTATGTATTTACCTATGAGGCAAATGTTGCCAGGCTATGGTGAGAAAGAAACTTGGTCACTAGAAGGATAAAACATTGATAAGGAGGTGTTACTGCATAAACTGCTGATGTTTAAAGTTGAAATGGCACCTGGACCACATGAGATGCATTTGAGGATACTGAAGGCAATGAGCACCAAAATGGCAAGGCCACTGGCTATTACCTTTCAATTTTTCCTTGCATTCAGGGGTGTGACAGAAGATTGGAAAATTGCAAACCCTTGTTCAAAAAGGTTTGAAAGATCAGCCCACTATTACAGACAAGTCAGTTCAAATTTGGCTGTCAACATGGCTTCCAGAAACAATTATTCAGGAATAAGTTAACAGACACATGGAGAAATGTAGATTGAATCCCAAGAGGCAGCAGGGATTTAGAGAAAGTCATGCTTAAATAACTTGGAGTTTCTTGAATAGAGGGAGGTCACAGAGAAAGCTGTTAAGGGAAAGACTGTGCTGTACATGGACTTTCAAGAAGAGACATTCAATACAGTGCCATACTTGAGAAAAGAAGATACAGGTCACAAAATAAAAAGGGCAGCAGCAGTATCGATACAAAATGCTCTAAGGGATAGGAAAGAGAATAATGATTAATGGTAATTTTTGGGATGGAGTAAGGTTTGAAGGGACAACAGTGTAGAACTTCAAGAAGGACACTGACACATTGGGGGAGTGGGTGCACAGGTGGCAGATGTGGAGGAGTGAGAAGTGACATAGTCACAACGAACATGGAGACACAGTATGAGGGATATTATTCTAAAATGGCGTGCAGGAGCACAGAGACCTGGGTGTATAGGTACATAGGTCATTAAAGATGGCTGGGCAGGTAGACTTAAAACAGCATTCACCATTCAAGCCTCACAAATAGGGACATTTGAGGGAGAGACCAGGGAGGTTATAAAGAGCATATAAAAAATACAGGTTAGACTTCAGCTGGAGTACTGTGTACAGTTCTAAGCATCACACCAAAAGAAGGATGACAGTCAAACGTTTTGAGAAGATTTGTAGCTCAGGTTGTGCACGATGTTGTAAACTTGCTTGCCGAGCCAGTGTGTTTGATAGCAGGGTGACAAAACGTCTGCAAGGTAACATTGTCAGTGTGCCTCTGGTGAAGCATTGGTGTTCTGTCCCACTTGTTATTTATATGCCTCGGTTCACTAGGATGGTTGGCATCACTTCTGGTTCCGTTTTTCAGTGGTTTGTGTAATCGGGTCTAGTTCAATGTGTTTGTTGAAGTAGTTCTGGTTGGAATGCCAGGCCTCCAGGAATTCCCTGGCAGCCTGTTTGGCTTGTGCTATTATAGTTGTGTTGTCCCATTCGAATTCATGTCCTTCTCTGTCCACGTGCATTGAGACCAGTGAGAACGGGTCGTGTCTCTTGGTGTTCATATATCCTTATTGTCAGTTTTCTTCTAGTGTGGCCTATGTAACGTTTCTCAGTCCTCGCATGGTATTTTGTATATTACGTTAGTTTTATTGGTTGTGGGTATGGGGTCCTTTATGTTCATCAGTAGATGTCATAGGGTGGTTGTTAGTTTGTGGGCTACTCGGATCCAGAGGCACACTGACAATGTTACCTAGCAGAGTGATGGAAACGTTTGCAATCAAACACTGGCTTGGTGAGCAAGTCCACAATCTCAAAGGATGTGAGTGCGTAGAAGTTAACGAGAATAGTTTTAGGGAAACACCACCTCAGTTATGAGTCCAAAAAAAAAAAGATCTTGTGACTACTCACCTTGCAGAAAAAAGGAAAGTTGATAAGTTTCCAAAATGAGGGATCTTGACGGTGGAAAGGGGAAATTGTTCCTACTTAAATTGAACAATGGCTCAGTGGTATTATCACTGGACTGTTAATTCAGAAACCCAGGTAATGTTCTAGAGTCCTGGTAGGATTTGAATTCAATTAAAAAATTTGGAATTAGGAGTCTAGTGATGACCATGAATCCATTGGTTCACTAGTGCCCTTTAGGAGGGAAACTGATATCGTTACCCCAGTCTCACCTACATGTGACTCCCGACTCAATGTGGTTGGTTCTTAACTGCCCTCTGGATAACGGCAATGGGCAATAAACACTAGCCTAGTCAACAACACCCAAGAACCATGGGCAAATCTAAAAGAAATGAACAAGAACTAGGGAGGGGACAGTTTTAAATATCTGTAAAAGCAGCAAATTTGGAGATAAGAGCAAATTTTTTTCCATAATGAGTAGTTAGAATTCTAAATGCACTCCTGGTAGTGCTGGAGGCAAGTTCAATGCATTTGAAGGAGCATTGGATGAACAGTTAAATAGAAAACATGCAGGATTATGGGGAAGGTATGAGAATGGCACAATCTAATAAATCTCTTCAATACATTTAAGCCCCTTTCTGAAGTCTGGTGCCAGGACTTGGGTACAATACTTTAACAGAGGCTGAACTTCGGTTTTATGCAAATTCAGCAACAGTCAGAATTTCCTGAAATTTAGCTGTGCACAAGAAATATGATCTAGTCTGGAAGAACATCAAGTATTAGCCTTCTCCTTCAACCTTTCCTGGACTTTACGTTCGTTGCACACTCAAGGGCTTGGCAGTTCAGAATAAAATGAGATAATGTTTAAGTAACAACACAGTTTGACTTAATTAACTGTGATAAATCAGAATTCTTTATTCAACCTAAAAAGGGGAGAGCTACAAAGATCTATATCCAATTACAGCAGTAATACACAGTCAGCTTAATAAATACATAAGGTTAACAATGTTAAATTTTGTAACTTGTTTCCGTTTAAAAGTGCAAAGCACTTTTGCAAAATCCAAAATATGTACAATAGGGAAATCCTGTAATATATAGTATGCAAAGCACTGATTTACAAGCACTTTTCAAACTTAGAGGGACACTATCACTCGAAGGGTGACCAACCCAACTTGAAATTATAGCACTATTTCTTCATTGTCGCAAGTCAAAATCCTGGAACTCCCTTTATAGAACTTTAGGAATACATGCAGTTTAAAAAAGGTGGTTCATCATGTTCTCACAGCAATTAACAACTGCAATACTGGCCTTGCACTGAAGCCCACATCCCAGAAACAATTTACGAATTCACATCAATTCATTATTTATGTTAATTTAAGGCAGTCTGTGTGTGTTTCTACAGCAGGCAATAATAGATAACAGTCTCTCCAATGTCATCAGACTCACCATTAGCAAGATCACCACAACACTAGTTACTCACATTTTCATTGAAATTAGGGGAAGCTACTGCATAATTTAAAACTGCATAAAGCAAGTTAGCATTTCTGGCAAACAGAATGAAGTCCTACAGAGTGACTAAAGGGAGGTAGGCGGGAGGTTAAAAAGCAGGGTCAAGGCTAGTAATCTCTGGATTACTCCAAGTGCCACATGCCAGTGAAAACAGGAATAGAACAGGTCAAACGAATACATATTTGAGGAGATGATGCAGGGAGCAGAATTCAGATTTTTGGGTCATTGGGATCTTTTCTGGAGGAGAAGTGACCCGTGCAAGAAGCTCAGTTGAGCTGGAGGGGGACAAACATCCTGGCAGGGAAGATTTTCTGGAGCTACTTGGGAAGGTTTAGACTAGTCTGACTGGGGGACATGACCCTAAGCAGTAGGGAGGCAAGACAGAAGGTTGAAGCCGATATAGAAGCTAGCGAGAACAAGTTAAATAGACACAGCAGACAAGAGCACGGCAGAGAAGGAGGCGGGAAGACTGATGAATTAAAATGCATTTATTTAATGCAAAAGGCCTGACAGATAAGGCAAATGAACTCCGGGCATGGGACTAGGGTATCATAGCTCTTACAGAAAGATGACCGACACAGGAACAGGACTGACAGGTCCACGTTCCGGGATATAGATGGTATAGGAAGGACAGAAGGGGAGGCAAGAGGGGAGGGGGAGCGGCATTGTTGCTTAAGGAAAACATCATGGCACAGTATTTATATAGCTAGCAGAGTGCACTCTGAACAATAGCAGTGGGGAATTATGAGAAAGTAATGCCACTGAACATCAGGCTAGATTCTCTCTTGTTGGAAGTGGTCATTGCTTGGCAGTGTGCAGTATAAATGTTACTGCCAAATTAAAAGTGTTTCTATAATTGCTGCAATATAGGTACATGGCAATCATCCTACCCTTCATGTTGATATCTCAAGATAGCACATTTTAAACACAGGAAACAACTTCATTATTTTCATTTGCAAACTGAAAGATCAAAGTTATGGCAGGAATGAAATCTGAACAGTACATAAGTTGATAACTACAAGAACAAAATATAGGTTTTTACTGAAATCTCTTTAAGGGTACACCACTTAAGTTGGTATCATTTCATACAGCTCAAAAAAAAGAACAGTACATTTTCTCAACTTACAATTATGCAGTATAACCAACAGTACAACTCAGATTTTATCAAGTCCAATAAATGCCTCACATGGTAGGCACCCATCAGCAAATCTATGCTAGGTATAATGTGAAACAATCTAGTTCACAGGTTAACAACTCAATTTAAGAGTGTAAAAAAATGAAAAAGGGCCATTTAATTTCTTAATCTCATCCATGTTATTTTGTTGAAGCATCCAGTATAAAGTTAACTGTAGTTTGGGGCCGATGTTGATCTCACTGTGTGCACCTTCTGTGCAGCCATAACATTGTATTCTTCACACTGTTCTATTACCCAATGCACTTTATATGGTATGATCTGTCTGCACAGCACACAAAACAAAAAACTTTTCACTGTATCTAGATACATGTGACAATAACAACTCAAATTAAAACAGCAGCTTTTCCGCACAAGTAAAGTAAGTGGCCAAGCTTACTTACACGATTCTATCTTTCAGAGATTGTTTGACCAGTGAAACATGATATTATAATCTTGAGTGGTTAACCACAGTAACTATCAGTTTTTCTTTTATGAAAAGCAGTACATTAGCAACAATAGAAAACGTAATTTCCATGGAATAAACTGTTAAACATAAGTGTGGAAATAAGATTTGACATCTTGCCAGTCTCACTGGATACATGAAACAAAAAAATAGGCATGTTGCTTAAAATCATTCACAATGAAAAAAAATTGTCATGTGAAACATTTAAGCCAAGCCTGGTCATGCTTCTCAAAGCATTGTGCATAAAAGCTCTTAGTTACTTTTATACAAGAACTTGTTATTTATGGAGAAAATTATGGGAGTGTATTAATTAGAGGATTATCAAATTGGGAAAGGAAGTATCATTTGCTTCCCAGTCCCCAAGAACACACTGCATTTTAAGATTTCAGTAGAATCCATAACTTGAAGGAAACAAAGTGAATTTTTATCCCCCCCCTGCATTCAGATCTAGCTTTAAAAATTGTTCAATGGTTTAAACTGAGTGTTCTCTACTACAGGGTTTTAAAAAATTGAAAGTCTTTTAATCTAATAGGACTGGTAGGAACAAGCCTGGAAGTCAATCATACAAGCACTGAAGCAATGCAGCAACGTTGTGAACATTTTCTCCATGTCTGCGTGGGTTTCCTACGGGTGCTCTGGTTTCCTCCCACAGTCCAAAGATGTGCAGGTTAGGTGGATTGGCCGTGCTAAATTGCCCCATAGCATCCACTGAGGTGGAGGCTTGGCACAGGCTTGAATGACCTGTTTCCACACTGTAGGGAGCTATGAGCTAATAAAAGGCACATTAATAAAAATGAATTTGATATAGGTCAGACAGAAACAGTACAACGTAAAAAGGGATTGATAACAATGTGCATCTGTCCATCACACTTGTGGTGACAAGGCAGGCATTTGTTGTCCATTCCCAAGTGCTCTTGAACTGATAGGCTCTCAGTCATTTCAGCGGGAAGTTAAAAGTGTGGATCTGTAGTCACATTTAGTCAGACCAGGTAAGGATGGCAGATTTTCTTCCCTAAAAAAAAGACACAAGTGAATGAAGTGGGCTTTTACAACCAGTGACTGCAGTGACAGTTGCCATTAGTCCAACTATTAATCCAATTACTTTTACTGAGAAAGAAATTCACCACCTGCCACAGTAGAATTTGAACCAATAGCCACAGAATATTAGAATACTGGGGTTCTGGATTACTCGTCCAGTAAAGTTACTTTCACGCCCTCACCTCCCACTTGTGACAGGAGCATTATCACAGGAAATTCACTGGCTTTAATAAAAGGGACTGCTGTAATGTTGAAACAAAGTTCCATTTCTTCAAAACTGAAGTGACATTGAGCCTTTGAACATTAGAGAGAAATATGCCTTTAAGTTGGAGACTCAAATAGAACTGTGGCTAAGATAATGGGATAATGAGACCCAATTTTTAAAAAACAATTCTTGCAACTTAATTCAAAAAACAGCAAAGGAATTAATTTGTATTCCCCAATTACAAAGATTTGAGTAAGTAGCTTTTGTTTGCTTTCTAAGTTCCAGCAAAGGAGAGGAGTTTAGAACTGTTCTGTATATTAAAAACCCATTAAATTTCATCACCAATAGCTCCAATAGGCACTTTGACATTCAGTACCGAGCTGCAGTAATGGCAAACAATATTCCCTGCCTTCTCCATTAAAGCAACACAAGTAACTTCAAGTGCAGAATACCTATTGAAAGAGCCATAGAAACAGATCCTTCGGTCCAAATCGTCCATGCCAACCAAACTAAACTAGTCCCACTTGCATGCATTTGGTCCTTTCCCTCTAAATCTTTCCAATTCACGTACCTGTCCAAATGTCTTTTAAATGTTTAACTTTACCTCCATCTACTACTTCTTCTGACAGTTCATTCCATATACAAACCACCGATTTGCCCCTCAGGTCCCCCTTTAAATCCTCTCACCTTAATATGCCCCCAGTTTTGAAATCTCCCGCCCTAGGGAAAAGCCCTTTGATTTTCACCTTATCAATGTCCTTCGTGATTTTGTAAACTTCTATAATTAAGATTTAAGATCCAGTAGGAAGACTTTGGGAAAGAGTATTAGAAACAGACAGCTATTTAAATTGAAAGATGTTGCAGGAGGAATAAAAAAAATGGTTGATGAGATTTAAATTAGATATGCATGCCAGACATTACATACATTAGTACACAGCATCTTGTCCCTTGTAACAGTGAAAGGTATCTACAGATTGGGCCGCCTTCTACCAAATCGAAGCTTGGGACAACCATTCTTTGCCCAATGTTATGACCAATTGTCTTGCCTGGTTTGAATTTAAGCAAAAGTTTGGCAGTTAATTCCTTATTCATTCTCCATAGCTAGTTTCTACGAGAGCAGACTTGCCAAAGTCTTCCTTCCACAGTACAAATTGTTGTTGAGATTTGTTATTTCCTGCAATTCTGTCCCAACGAGTGCAAGACAAATAAACTTTAGCACGCTGCTTTTTACAGCATTGCATGTTAATGTTTGTAGTAGAAACTTGTAATCTATTAGCAATCAAATTAATTAATAGCTAACAGTTTAAAAAAATTACCTCAGGATTCTCAGAGGGTGGCACAGTGGTTAGCAATGCTGCCTCTCAATGGCAAGGACCCAGATACGATCCCAGCCTCGGGTGACAGTTTGTGTGGAGCTTGCACGTTCTCCTTGGCTGCACAAGTTTCCTCCCACAGTCAAAGATGTGGTTAGGTGGAGTGGCCATGGTAAATGTGGTGTTACAGAGATAGGGTAGGGGGCTGGGGCTGGGTCTGGGTGGGATGCTCCGAGAATTGGTGCAGACTTGTTGGGCCGAATGGCCTCTTCCTGCTCTGCCGGGATTCTATGATGCTAGTAGATTTCGCTCTTTCCATTTCTAAGCTTTTTTTTTTAAAAATAAAAAAAATGAGCCACAAGAATGACAGCACCCATTAAGAAGCTCTTTCCAATCCACTGAAATACTCAACTCTGCTGGATTGGCGACTGCAATCTTCCGTATGCATGAAGTATAGTATTGAAAAAAATTTATGCCAAGAGGAGCTATTTTACAGGAGGTGCAGAGGAAAATGTCATATTTACTATTAAAAGACCGTTGAGAAAATGCTAATTATTTAGACAAACAATACTAATAGTTCACAGTCAAGATAACAAAACTGAAACTAAAAAAAGGTGGAACTATCCTATTCCAGTAAAATGATGTTGAACTTTCAGTCTTCTTTTTCTCCCACATTAACTGAAGGCCAAACAATGTGCACTAAGAATTAAATCAAAGCTCATTTACACAGACACAAAATCAGTTTGCCAAAAGGAATTTCCACTCCACATATATTTTAACTGGATGTGACAATACAGAAAACATCCAGCTTCACACCCTACAGTAACCACATCAACATTTTCTTTAACATTTAACTTAATGTAAATGATCATTTTTTGTAAACACTGATCACTTGTCAAACAGGTTTCATGATACCACCCACTTAAGGCTGTGGTATTTAAAATACATTCAAGGACTCCAGAGCAGTGACGCGTAAATAGATTAGGGCAAATTTGATTGCTGCATTATGTAACATTTACTTTTTATTAACTGGTAGATTAAGGACTAAATACACAATAGAACAATCAAGACTGATGTTATTCTTTAAAAAGTGTCAAACATTAGGCAAGCATTGATCAATCTACTTCTGTTCCAAATCAGGAGGCAAATACAGGCAACCATAATAAGATTCAATTATTCTATCTGGAAACACCTACAATTTGCCCCTTGCAACATCTTTTTAAAAAAAAAATTAATTTATGCTATTTGCCTCCATCTGTTAATCCGAAACTCAGAGGCTGATCACTTGTATTGGGATACTTTTCTTCACAGCATAAGTACATATGAAGATACAAGCTAGAGGCAACAGAGGGACCACAAATGCCAACCCGTCTGCAGATGACATCAAAACAGAATTCAATTGAGAGAGGCATCATGGTGCCCTAGCAACACTGGATTCAATAGGAAATGGGGAAACTCTCCACTAGTTGGAGTCATACTAGGCACAAAAGAATAAGGTTAAATTGTTGGAAGCCAATCATCTCAGTTGCAAGAGTTCCTCAGGCTAATGACCTAGGTGCAACCATCTTCAGCTGCTTCATTGACCTTTCTAGCAGAAAGGTGAGAAGTCAGAAAAAAAATAAAGGAAAGAAAGAGTATAAACTTGATGGAAAAACACTAAGAGGGTGTGTAGGCTCAGCAATGCACATAATTCATTGAAAGTACAACAGCAGATAGACAGACAGTCATAGAAAATGCAACAAGCCTTTTTATTTCTTAATTAGGGGACACAGTACAACAGCAAAGACATGGACTAGAGGCCAAAGAGTACTGCGAACATGATTACACACCCTCGTTAGAGAATAGTAATTTAAGCTATCAACAGTGTACAATGAAAGTTCACCAGATTGAAATTTTATTACACCTGAAGGATTCAAATTACTGGATCAGTGAAGGCCAAGAAAAAATTTAAGAGAATCTTACAGTTAAAGTGTTTTTAGTAAGACAGAGGGAGGAATATCATTTAATAATTGGGGAATCTTCATTTTAAAGTTCACTAAACAATTGAGGTTAGATACTACAAGGAGAAATTTTAAGATGGATGGGATAGATGAAGTAAAACATGGTATTCTTGAGGAAGAAGGTGACAGACATTTGCCTTGCAAATAAGGACATAGAACACAAAACAGGAAATTCACGCTAAACATTCTAAGTCTCTAAGCCTGGGTAATGCAGTGCACTTTTTTTTTTTAGGTATTACCTTTTAGGAAGCATGAAAAAGGTCTTGGGAAGGGTAAGAAGGGTCACTATGAAATTGATGTTACTTTATAAAGTATCCATTTTAAAATGGGCAACTTCTGATTTTCAAAATAGGAACTCCTGCTTTTAGATTTGCTTAAGAGGAAATATCTTCTCCACATCTACTCTGTCAAGATTCCTTGCATTATGTTTAACAAAACTTGTCTTTGTACATTTGATTATTTGCAATGTGCAAACGTCAAATCATTTTCTGCTTTTAATGTGTAAAAAAGGGAATAAAGATGCAATAATGGGGTACAATCAAGTATGTGGATGATACCGAAAAGTGGCCCAATGGTTGACAGTGAGGTAGAAAAAAACCCGAAAAGATGTAACACACTGGTCAGGTAAGCAGAAGTTTCAAAATATGCAAGGGAATGTATTTGGTGATGGTAGCGGAATAGAGGGACCTGGATGGGCATGCTCACAGGTCCCTAAAAGGTCAAGTAGAATGGCAGAAAATAAGAAAGTCAATTTAGATTATAAAAAGCTGGAAATTTATGATTAGAATTGTGTAACAAACTATTTACGCTACAGTTATAATACAGCATTCAGTTCCAGTCACCAATTGCAGGAAGGATATGACTGTTAGAAAGGAGACTGAAAAGCAGGATATTGCTCGTACTGTAGAATTTTACCTACAAAAGAAAAGCCAGAGGCCATTTTGCTTCAAGCTATTGAGGTTAAGGAAAATTTTACATACTCCAATTAAATTACCAAGGGTTCAGATACCGTGGACAGGAAGGACCTATTTCCTTTAGCTGGGAGGTGGCGGGGCTATAGCTTTAAAATACTCAGCAGGACTGTTATGATCCCAGCTGATGGTAATACTGGATGTGGGAGGTCCCAGACCAAAATTTAGCTTGACAAATCATATTTAATATGTTATTTGATGACAGAATAGCAGCTTATTACACAAAAAAAGGGAAAAAACCTATATTCACACTGAGGACAGAAGATCTTGGACAGCAAAACCAAGGATTAAAACGTACACATATAGGGAACATTTGGGGGGATATGGGCCAAATGCAGGCATATGGGGACTAGTTTAGTTTGGGAAACCTGGTCGGCATGAACCATGCTGTGTGGCTCTACAAAATGTTCTTTGGCTGGTAGAGAAATGACATACTGAATGAAGTATGTTTATATGTTATACATTTTCTATGTTTTCACAAAGAA